CCCCCTGCCCACACCTGCCGGTGACACCCGTGGGACAGCCACCCCGCGGCGTGGGTTCGCAGAGGGAGCAGCTGGGGCAGAACTCGGTTCCTCTCGCTTCGCCGGCCACGCAGGACGGAGGCCGGGACGTGGGGCTCGCTGTGGGTTTATTCTGCGTTTGGGTGTCATTTGGTGGGGAGTTGGGAGGCTGCCGGACCGTCTCGGTCAGGTGTGCAGCCGGGCGGGCATCGCACAAAATAATTCTCTACGTGGACTGCAAAAGCAGGCGGGTTAAACCGTCTAGGCAGAGGCGGTGCGATCTCTCATTTATTGGAAAAGAGAGAATCCACGAGGGAGTGCACCCACGTGAACGCTGCCGTTGCAGGGAAAGCTTCATTTGGACACCGGGGTCGAGCAACAGCAAGACCCCCCAAGTCCTAGAAGGCACACGTCATTAGTTCTGGGGCTCATGGGATTCATTTCGACATGTAAGTACGTGGAGCTGCTATTAAATGACATGTTTCCCAGGCAAGGTTTTAATTAGGCAAAGATTTGAGTTTGTATCAATGGCCCTATTTAGTAAAGGTGCTTTCGCATCCTGCTCCTTTTCTGCTCTTGGCAGTAGACCCCTTCAGTATGGGAAGGCAAACTTACAATTCTTTAAAGTATATGCTTGCAAACTTTCTTGCTTTTATGCAAATCAGTTAAGGAGTATAGGTTCGATAGGAGACAGGGAGGAATGAATCTCACAGGAGCCTTTGCCTTTCACAAAGTTCTCAGACCTTATCTTCCCCTAGCTGTGAAGAGCAGATCACAAGGTCGGTCTGCTGTTAAAACTTCTGCTTAATTCCTCCATGCAAATCTGCTGCATATCTAATCTAGACTATAAACTTTCATAAATAAAAGTGGACTGGAAAATGTTGAGTATTTTTAGCTTGCATTTTTCCTAGACCGCCTGTTCTGGTTTTTATCTTCACCAAAAAAACCTGAAGGATAGTGAAAATGGGTATAATGGGCATTAAGGCCCAAATGGATTTTTGCGACTGTGAAGATACTTCCCCAGAGTATGTAATTTCACCACCAAACTCTTAATCTTATCAGCAAAATTGAATACGTGACTACCTTTTGCTTTAGCACATGGCCCTGCCTACATCTGCTGTAATACCAGCCTTTTGAATGTTGATTCCCACTTCAGTGCGCGAGCTGAGACAGAAGAATGTAGATGCAAGTGGAAAATAAATGTAGATTTCCAAATCCAAAATGAGTAAAAGCTTGCCAAGCTCCTGACAAGTGCTTTTTCTCTAGTTCAGGAAATACCCCTTCTTAAAATAACGAAGCAGTTGTCCCTTCTTGAAATAACGACCAGGCCCAGTCAACTGCTTGCAGACATGTTCCCCAAAAATACTTAAAAACCCAATTTCCCTGGTGTTTCAGGGAATTTCCTCATGCAATCTGATGCATGCAAGATAAAAATTTCATACTCTGTATTTACTATTTCATACAAATTTATCCCAGGGTTTCTCTTTATAAGAGCCTTTGCTTGTACTTTGCTTACAGGACAAGTTCAACCAGCCTAGTTTCTAACATGAACAAATCAATAACATTATATACAACCTGTTTTATTTCAGTTAATAGAATTATATGTGAGATATTGACTCTTGTATCCTGCAGAAATGGGAAACAAAGCAGGAATTTCTCAAGACAAAAGAATTTTAGTGCCAAGCTCTATATGCAATAAATATAAATTTTGAATTATGCAAGGTAGACAGAAAGCAGCAGTGACACAGTCATTCATCTGTTCTGTAGCTTCCAGATGCATTTACCACAATGACTTCAGGTAGGCTTTCAGCTTTACTGGCGACAAAAAACACAAGAAGTAGATAAAACCAAACCACAAATATTTCACCTTTTTCTTCTGAAGATTTATTCAAATAAAGTCAGACAACCAAATCACGTGACAACTTAAAATAACTGCATTGCTAGCACAATTTTGCATCTAGTATTTCCAGAAAAAGATCTTAAATTTAAGGGAATGAAAACAGTATTTCTTAAAGTTGTGTCAAAATTAAGAATGGTCCAGCATAAAGGATTTTCAAGTCAGGCTGGTTTTCTCTGAAGATTTGCGGTTCATCAGAGGCAAGAAAGTATCTGTCCATCTTTTTGAGTAGGAGGTGCTTCCCTTCGGACTCAAAGATCCACCTTTGTAAAAGTTTTAGTAATTCTCTCTTCCATAATGACCTGGATGAGCTGCAAATTAGAAAGGAAACACAGAAATGTTTTGACTGTAGAAACTGTAAATCCTTTGTTTCTCCCTTCATTGAATAAAGCAAGTCTTCTCTGCACTTTCCTGCAGAACCCGAGGTATTTTACAGATACCCAACCTTCTTTTACATCAATTAACCCAGCAAGAGGAGATGCACATCGGGTTTCCTCACAGCGTGGCAAAGGTCTGACGGGAGGCCACCTTCACTTTTTAATACATCGTTCACACTTTACATGTCTGCTGTAAGCCCTTCTATTCTTTTTCAAAACAAATAGTCTCAGCCTGTCTCTCCCTGTGATGAGGACTGCTTTTTCATGCTGAAACCCTGGCTTTCTTAAAATCGGCAGAAGTTTTGCCACTGAATTTAAGCAGGGTCAAGATTTGACTCTCATTTTTTGATCATTTTAGTTAATGATTTCACTTGATCTCTGTATCCTGGATTATACGGACCCCTCAGATGAACACTTATTGTTCCTTTAAGTAAAGTAGTTAACTATGTCCTCATTTTTTCTCCCTTTTTAACAAACCAAAGTGTTTGATTTGCTCTCTGCCAACAGAGCTACGAACAGCATAACCTCAGTCTCTCCGCGCCCCGATTTGCAGTATATTGTATGTTACGAAGGTGTGGAATTGGATTAAAAGCTACGGCACGGTGCTCTGCAGATAAACCCGCTGCAGGTGTGCACTTTAAGAGGATTTTAATTTGGTAACAAGGGAAGAAAGAGAGGCAGCCTAGAACGGGATTTTCTAAATGAAAAAAATGCTATTTGTGCTGAGAGAAAGCAACTGCAAGCTCTGTGATAAGGAACAAAGATGGGGCCAGTGCTCTCTGGGCTGCACTTTTATAGATTACGGCTCGCTCAGGGCATCTTTGTTGCTGCCACTGGTTTCAGCCATTCTTAGTTCATACTACGTGCATTTGGCTGTATGGCATTTCATCTGCCACACTCCCTCTTCAGCCAGTGTGTTCAAATCTTGTCTCACTCTCCGCCTTCTACATTTTTTCATATAAAAATAATGTTTTCCTCGGGAGATGTCACCAACTTGGAATGTATTCCATTTTCAACATTCTAAACAATTATTTTCGTGCTTTCAATTGTATTAAAAAAAAACATTTGGAAATGTGCTGCGCTGTTCAAAATAAATGGAAAAAGATGGTCTCTCTGCCGAGGAGTGTAATTTATATTCAGCATGAACTAGGAATGGAGGACCAAAAACAGATGGGGAAGGAAGAGGAAGCATGAAGGTGACAACTAAAAGATCATGAAGGGATCTGCTAAGTCACAGACACATATTGATGCTGCTGATATCAGGGCAAGGTTGGGAGATTCTTTTCTGATTTCTGTTACCAGTCCTCCCTCTCGTTTTTCCAGGGTTGCATAGCAAAACTGAGTTTTTAGCACTAATTTCAATGAGATGAGGGTGGAGGTGTGATGAACAGATTTTTTTTTTCCTTCCCAAGCATAACAGGCTGTAGAGAAGGCACAGAAATGCCTTGTGGGACAAGACTAAAAAGATACGGAGGCTGGTGGTGTTGGCAGTGGACGGAGTGGAGGACGGGGACTGACGAAAGACACTGGGTTGCAGAGAGCTGCAAGGGCTGCATGAGGTAAAGGAGCTAAAAGGAAAAACGATGAAACACACCCGTGATGCACAAAGTGACATGTGAGGCGGCAGAAACGCGGGCCAGGAAAGAGCAGCGTGGCTGGTGGATGCCGCTAAGGCTGCTGAGGGTTTAGATACGGCCGAAGGGGGATTAGTCAGGAGCAGGGACCGATGGTTGTTTGGAAGCACGATGATGAGTTTTGGTGATCGAAAGTCACCGAACACAAATCTTCATGGCGATACAAAGTGGTGGGTGATGGAGGTGCTTTTGGCAGCTGTCTTTTTCAGCAACCTGTGGAATTAATATTGGCACCCAACAAGAAAGAGCCTGCAATGGTTGAGGTAGGAGCTACCACCGGTTTGAAGGACACAAGTAGGCAGAAGTGCTCACTCACTCTGTCACAACTCCTGGAACCCTTTTGAGCTGCAGGTTCAAGTTTTTCAGCCCCCTCAAAAACTGCAAACACTTGAACCACAGCATCAGCAGGCTCTTACTAGAATCTCTTTTTCAGCCCACCATTATCAGCATCTTGCACATGGACTGGTAGAATCCATCAGCCGCTGGGATCTTTAATCTCTAAGCTGTTTCTACACTCTCCCAATCCTTCACTGTCTCCTTCCCTCCTCCACACCTTTTCTCAAGTCATCATACTCCCCATTTCACATTTTATACCATGCCTTTCTTGCTCTGACACCCCTTGCTGGAGAGGAGGTGGAGCTGAAAGAGCTGTCGAGGTCCCGTTAGCCTTGGCTGCTGTAGGACACTTGCTCCTTGCTGCCTTACAGGGAGAGTGACTGCACGGTTCCTCCCATCACATGTGGGCATCGCCCACATGGAGGCTGGGCTGGGAAAGGGTTAAAGTCAACCCTAAATCAAGAGGTGTAGGTATGCCAGCACATTATGTGGGTTAGATGTGCCAAGCTCCAAGGCAAGAGCCCCAGACAGAAGGAAGTTTGGGTTTGGTTACTGGTATGTGGTTTATTTGGGGGGGAGGCACACGGCATTAGCAAGACACTCACACATTTGCCTAAGTAATTGTGTTTCCTCAGTGTGGATGCTACATATTTCGACTTGCAGGCTGCCCACCATTCCTGCAAGAAATGCTGAGATTTAAGAAATTTCTGAAAGTCAATGACCCTGAATACAGAACTTTTACACCAGATGGCTTGTTAGCATAACGGGTTCAGCCTTGTCCACTAAAACTCGAAATCCTGCCGGAATAGAAAGATGGGAAAGAAGGGGCATTGTAAAGTCATATAGCCCAACATCTTAAAGAACCAAATGTGTTAAGAAAGAAGATAACAATCATCAAATTAATTGGAGCATCACGGAGAAAGATTAAAAGATGTTTTTTAACTCTCTCATATGTGAGAATCAATTCAATCTTAGCGCTACTGAAGTATAGTAGGAAGACTGTCATAAGTGAGATGAAAATATAATTTGTAATTAGTTTAAGGAAGGCTCAGCAGAGGAAGGGATTCTCTCCATCAGTTGTGTCCGCAACCACCAACAACTGCAGAAGAGGGAGGCAATTCATTAAACTCTTCTCGTGGTGGAAAGAGGGAAGAGGATTTCATCATCGTGGGGAATTTCAATAAACATTATGCTTCCAGGGCTGTTCTTGGAATTCATTCCTAATTTCCTCATTGCCCAAAATGTTGCGTGTAACATTGGAGAGTTTTGTACAGAACTCCTCTGGAGAGAGAGAAAGGAATGATTATTTTATTATTACTGTAATGCAGCAGCTGGTAGACAAGGGCCCCTACTGTGCAATGTTCTCTGCAGACACAGAACAAAACTCTGATCCTGCCCCAGACAGTTTGCAGTCTAAACATAAGGCAAAAGGTAGCGGCTAGATGCAGAAAAGGGGTGCACACATACATGCACAAACACCGACGTTATTGGGGGAAGAGTACTGAAGAATACAAAAGGCAACAACCTTAACATACCCCTTGGTTATGTCTTTGTAGGAAACACATGAAAGTAAGGTTTTGAAGGGGAATTTCAAAGAAGATAATGAGGTTTTCTTTGGCTATTTGTGTGAAGCCCCATCCAAGAGAAGAGGAAAACATATGAAGGTGCTCCTTTGAAAAGCTAAAAAGCGGTTCATGCAGTTTGGGATCAGATGGTGCTCACAGGAGACGGTGCGTTTCTGCAGAATGAATGAGAGAGAGAGAGCCTCTGAAAGGTTTTACAAATGAAGAGAAAGGCGGGTAGGGTTGATGTAGTATAGAAAGGGAAGAGACTGAACTGATTCAAGACGTGGTTGTACCACTTCAAGCCACTTTGAGTGAATGTGACTGCACAGTCCCTTCGCTCCTCCTGCCTTGCACTGGTGTGGGATGGATTTGATGCTTGACAGCCCAGAGCCCTAAAACAGAGAGAAAACTAACCCAGCTAAGGGAGTGACTAGTTTTCAGTCAATTTAACACCTTAAACACGCTTGCTTCTGGCTAGGCAAGCACTTATGTCGGTGTAAGGCGTAAGGAAAAGGAAGGAGGATATAGCTGTTGTCAAGGGAACTGCCTTTTTGGCAAGTAGTTATCGCAGTGGCTCTGCTCTGGCTGTATTATAGGGGAAGAACCTGAAGGACTGGGAGCTATCACTCGAGAGATCTGGAATTTTTATGGTTTGGGATATTAGTGGCCCCAGCTCTCCATCACACCCTTCTGCTGGGCTGTGCAGCTCTGGTAGGGAGGGCGAGCAGAGGCTCACACCTCAGGCTGCTGTTCCCCATATTTCCACGGACAAACGATGGCTTCTGCCGAAAGAGGCGGTCCTGCCCTTCCCACCATCTCCAGCTGCACGCTCCTACTTTCCTCCCTTTGGCTCATCCTGGAGCTTGGATCAGAAAATAAATCTGGTTGAAAACTAATGGTTTCATTTCCCTGACCTGGCTAGCCACATCACCAGGTGAATGGTGCTGCTTGATGCAAGGAGGGGAGTAGGAAGAAGTGATGCCCTTATTGACTGTAGCGTGAATTTATGTCAGTTAAAACGATCTGGTGCCTCTGCCATCTCAGGACACAGAGGAGCGTATCAGATGGGAGTCACCAAGATCCTACTTACCAAAACTATCTCTGTAGTGGAGGGTCATAGCCTTGCTTACTGCGCTCAGTAGGAAGTTCCATCTCAACTGGAAATTGATGCCAGTTTTCTAAACTCCTCTTTACTTCTGCTTGGCTGCAGATAGAGAAAAAAATTGCTTTATGATAAAGTTGGTTAAAATAATTCCTTCCTGTGTTGCAGAGTATTTTGCCATACAAACTCCATACAAAGGTGGAACAAGCAGGTTTTTTGTTAGAAGCTTAAAACAACTTTGATTGAAAGGGATCTTTGGACATCATCTAATCCAACCTCTTGCTCAAAGTATGGCCAGTTTAGTTCAAGCCATGCCCAGCCAAGTTCTGAATACCTCCAGCATGGAGCCTTTCTGGGTAACCTCTTCCCATGCTTATCTACTCTCATGGTAATTTTTTTTTTCTTTTTATCTATCGGAAATTTTCTTTGCTGCAACTTGTGTGTATTGCCTTATGCCCTATAACTGTGAATGCCCAGGAAAAATCCCGCTCCGTCTTCTCTATACCATCCCATGAGGTACCTGAGGGTTCCGTGAGATGAAGGCACCACAGAACTGCAAAGTACTATTTGTGATTTTAAAAAAAAAAAAAAAAAATTAGGAAATAATCAAGCTAAAGAAGTACAGTTTACTCTGCTTCTTCAGAAAGGGGAAAAAAAAACCCCAACAAACAACCTTTACCACTGCCCAGATCCAAGTTAATGGATCTGGCAACCAACCGAAGGCAGTGGCACCACCAAGGCACTGCTCACTCCGAATCAGTGATGGAACAGGGGTGGCAGGGTCGGTAACCTGTGGAAAGGTGCATATGTGAGGATGATCCTACTTGAATCTTTCAGAAGAGCTAGAGATGTTGTAGTAGAAATTATCAGTCCCCTACTAAAAGTCAACAGTTTCTTGAATCAACAATTTCAGGAATCAGGAAGTGTTCTCTTCATTTTCACTAACATTTCTCTCCTGAATTTTGGTTTATTAGGGACTGTTATAATATGTGTCTATGAAATGAGAGCAGATACTGAAACCGCCCAAGCGGATATATGCACAGAAATATGCTTGCAGTTGTTTGCACAGATGGAATTTTTGTATGCCAATTAATTCCCCCTTTTTCTGCAGCATGCATAAATTGTATTTATGCAAATCTGCAGTCTGGTCAGGTTGCTAATGTACAAGGTAGCTCCTGCAGACTAGTGACAGTCAGCATGTAGCAGGATAAATGATGTGATCACTCTCTCTTTTCTGAAATTATTAAATTAATTTTATACCTGAATGACAAAAGCCTGAAGATTTGAATACACACAGTCAGGAGAACCCAAATATCTGTGGAAGCTGCCAGCAAAGACATTAAGTCGTTCAAACCTATGAAACATAGATGGGAGTTCCTTACTTGAAGTGATTGGGTTGCTTTTTTACTTTTTTCTGCAGTTTTTAGCCTTTTTTCATTTATCTTTAGCTTAAAATATATTAAGACATCTGTTGTTAGAATTTTGATTAATTATACTATTCCTTTAGTGAGGAATAGTGCCCTACTTTGAAATCAATCAGAATTCACATTTATGTCCGTTTCTACCGTATCTGCCCTGACGTCGTCATCATGGCAAAGGTGGCAAGAATAAACACTTCCAATATGAAAGCTGGAATTTGGTTATATGCAATACCAACTTACTTATCTGAGATTTTATGTGGTTGAGAAAAAAAAAATAATCTTGGTTTATCTGTTGAGGGGGAGAAAACAGTTTTAAAACAATACCAGAAAATGCAGAATATTCTGTAGACCAACAGAAATATAGATAGTATTGCCACATATCAGTGCAGCTGTTCCCCCAAAAGACTGGAACCTACCACCCCCTGCCAAAAGGTACATCACCATGGCACCTCTCTGAATTTATACCCTTCTAACTGAGGCATCTTCCTTCAAGAAAGCATATGGATAGGGTGTGTGAAACCTTGCTTATTACAAATAACAGTTTGGAAAAGGAATGAAAACAGAGAATGCAATAAATCCACCTTGGAAAGAGTAAGATCATCATTAACATAATGAGCAAATGTAATGAGTGTTCTGCGCAGTGGGTTTGGTTTTAAGATGTATGTAAATATTATTTAAATGGTTCTCCTGATGGTTCTGTGAAGAAGGCAAATTATTATTCCTATTGAAAGCTGTCACAGAAAGGCTGTGGTGCGTCCCTTGTCAGCGAGCGAGTCGGTGATGGGCCAGGAACAAAGAGCGGAGGTTTCCCCCATCAGTTCTGTGCACAGCCTAGGCCAACGTGTCCGTCTATTGCTAATAATTTAAATGGCAGCCCATTAATCTAAAAATCAACTTGCCATTATGTTCCCATCCCTTTTCATTAAGTTGGCAAATGCATTATGTCATGGCTGCGTACAAACTGTGTATTTTATTGTTTGCAGCACAACATCGATCCCACAGGCTGCAATACAGCAAAAGGACACGAAAGCTGAAAGGCCAATAGTCCTTGTCCAGTTCAGCATAAAATATTTTAAAATCTGGCCATTTTTTGTGTACTTTGATTAATAACAGAGGAAAATGTGAAATGCAATGCTTGAAAACTTCCTTTTTGTCAAACAAAATGATAAAAAATTAATACCCCTGTTTGTCAACCTTATTCTAGAAGATATATAATTTAGTAACACAAACCCCACTCCTGCTGCCACAGAAAGCTTTAAGAGAGAGTCAGAATGGAAAGCCTTTCATTCTTAACCTTTAAAGTCAGGAGGATAATATTACATGCTCCATTCTCAATTGTATTGGCTCTTTTCCAGCACTTCGGGTTATGGCAAGGCTGTTATTCCCATTAGGGCAGATGCGATGAATAAACAAGAGGAAATGCTGGAGCTTTAACAATGGCAAGCAAGGGCTTAACTGGATAGACAAAACATAGCAAAAAAAAAATTACATTTCAGTTCTATGTTGTTCTGCAGCTCCTCCAGATTCCTAAACTTCTTTTGAAAGAGGTTTCCAGGCACATCCAGAAATCCCTGATGGATGACAGCATGCAAGTCTGATCGCAGAACAGTGACTTTGCTGTTGCTGTTCAAGACTGTTCGCATTGTCTATAGATAATAAGAAAACAGTTAATGCCTTTCATTTTCTCAAGCCCTTAACTCAGTCAAAAAGCTTCCCTTATTCAATACTAGACTTTATACAACCAGTCTGCAAATTAGTGGGAGGAAAAAAAAAAAAAAATCAAAGGAGATGAATCTTGAGTTGTCTTCAAGAGTTTTTTGTTCTAGGAGATACTCTTCTCAATGACAGCCTGTGGTGGTGCCTGGGATGGAGCAGACAAGGCTAACATGCTTGAAGTATCTGGGCAATTGCCTGGGCAATTGATTTTGCTTAGGGTTATTATAGTTGTGCCAAATTATGGTATTTTGGCTAAAACATGGAATGGTGTGTCAGGCCTGACTTTCCCTCAGTGTTACCTGTCCTTAGTACATGCTTCAATTAAATCCAAAGGCAAGTTTTCTCAAGTTGCCCAAACCTTTGAGAAGGTAAAAATAACATTAGAAATATGGTATTAGTTAAAATAATATTAGTTGGTATTTTATCTCATTTATCTGCTTATGAGTCATTTGTGAATGAATCTGGCTTCATATTGGTTGCAAAAAGTATTACTCACATAGATTTTGCAAACAATTTTCAGCCTAACATCTGATCCTCAGCTCTTCACTTTTTTTTAATTAATTGCTAATATCACACAGTATTGCTTCAGATCCTTGATGAAATGATGAAAACAGTGAAGGAAATTAAACCTGAATCCGTTAAAATTTGCTAATCCATAAATTTAGTTGCTCACTTCTATATGGAAATCTGTAAGATCCTCAAGCCTTTATTGAATTTGGGGCTTTTGTATGAATAATCCGTGTCCAGTTTAACCTTCCAGAGGAAAAATATGTCTTGTAAAATTCAGAAGAACTTCAAGGTTCATAAAGACTTTAACAAATCCCATTCAGCAGGTGCTTACCAAGAGCCCACAAACAGCAGCGAATGCAGCTGCCCATTTCTTTGCAAACATAATTCCCAATCTGGCCGTTTTTCTTTTTCATCGTTCTGCTAGCTTTACTGAAACACCAAAAGCACTCTGATTCTCACTCGGTAACCCCCTTCAGCTAAGTTAAAGATAAAGTCTTTTTTCGTATTTTACATGAAGTTTCCAGTGCCAGAAGAAGGCTGGGAACTACTCGGGCCAGTACCTTCAGTGCGCTGCTGGCCCTCCACCCCACGTCCCCCTGTTTCAGACCGCTCCCTTCAGCCATTGCACTTCGCTAAACATAATTCTCTAAATGACCGAGAGCCAGCTCCGACAACTCTTAAATACAGATTACCACAGGCAGGAATCAGCCCCAGGAAATGACAGGCATCATATTCACATGCCTTTCTCGCGGGGAATTTACACCTTTTTACGCTCTAATTACTTCTGCATGTCCAGGTAGTAGCAGCTGTCAGCCTGCTTTACCTACACATGATGGGAAAGTTACTTTTTTTTCCTTCTAAATGCTGACCCTGCTAAAATTATTCCTATTTTCTCACCAGGTGGCTAAATTATTGCAAAGTACTCTACAAGGGACGGGGTGGTTACACCCTTCAGAAGCTGCAGCTGCACAGCTCCTCCGTAGTACCTCTCGTTAGGAGAACTCTCACCTGCTTTGGCTATCAGTCTCTAGTTGAAATTCCAGGTGTTTTAGACAGAGAAAGCTGAGAAGGATGATTAGAAATATCAAATGACTCCTATGTGAGAAGATGAGATAAACTTCAGCTTCGGATAGAAATAGCTAAGGAATGATGTGATGGAGGTATGTGGGGAGAATTGCATGAAGAAGGGCAGAAATTTTAAAATAATAAAAGACATTATTTTTTCACACAACAAATAAACACACCCTGGAACTCACTACCCCAAGATGTTGTGGATGTCAAAATGAAGCTATTAAATACCATGATGTGGACATAACCTTCATCTTACATTGCTGGAAGCCAGGAGAGTACAGTGGAGGAGGGGTGAGGTGTCTCTTGCTCCACTCGTACCCACTTCCCCGGAGCATCTGATGAGGCCACCAGCGGGAACGGGGTACAAGTCCACACAAGCTTAGGATCGGCTCTGACTGACTACAACACTCAGCCGTCCTTTCTGAGGGATGTCCACCTCTCCATAAAGCATCTGCATGTTTCTCACAAGCTGAAAAATTTTAAACACCTATGGTGTTAAGCTAACCATCTTCTGGTGTGTGTTGGACAGGGGGATGCATTTGCAGGAGAATGTTTAACTGGTATTTCACAGAATCACGGAATTGATCACAGAATCTATTTGGTTGGAAGAGACCTCTGGGATCATCGAGTCCAACCTTTGCCCCAACACCCCCATGTCAACTAGACCAAGGCACCGAGTGCCACGTCCAGGCTTTTCTTCAACACCTCCAGGGATGGGGACTCCACCACCTCCCTGGGCAGCCCATCCCAATCCCTAACAACCCTTTCTGTGAAGAAAGGCCTCCTCATTTCTAGCCTGAAATTTGTTTCCTACCCTGTTTCTCTGGAGCCCAGTCTCCATGGCTTTGGCAAGATCTCCATCAGAAGTTGTAATAGAGGCTATGTGACCGCTGAAAGACTATGGGGATGCTCATTTACAAGACTTACATAATTTCACTTATTGAAACTATTGTTTTTAAATTGCCAGTGGGACTAATCATCAGGTACACTGGAACTCCTTTGCCCTTCCCTTGTATTTTAAAGAGGCTCTAGAGGAGGTACAAGCATCATTTACTAGTGAGAACAGTGCCAAGAACTCATTAGCATGAACAAAAACCAGACTTAGAATGTGCTCAGCTGTAAGCGCAGATCTGACCCTGATTCTCAGGTCTGCTAGGTTCACTTTGTGCCGGTGAAACAGCGTAAAGGGGATGTAGAGCAGCCAGAGGCTGCTGCTAGAGAATCCCCCCAACTAGGCTGCAATTCTCTTGCCCTAAATCTTGAGGGTGTAAATTCAGTGTTGACTCTTTGCAGCTTTTCTGCACATTAGGAACAGGCAGGGAAGAATCAAAAAACTACAACCAGCCCCTTGACACCATGGCCTGAGCACAAGCAGGAAGACGCAAAGTGTGAGTATGCAAAGCAAATGCAAATGACTGGGAACAGTTGGCGCTTGAGGTCTTGCTGGATCACGTTCTTCAATGCGTAAGAAGCACTGTTTAGCAGCACATGAAGCTGAGCTTTTCAAGTGTTTAGTCTCTCCAAGGGCTGCTGCAGTAAATGGGAACTGTGAGTGCTCAGCGCCTCACAGAAGTCAACTTTTTGCCTGTGTTAGCACACCTATGCATGTGTATGCATTATTATTGTTATTTTTTTAAACTTTTTTAAAGTGAGTGAGGTGTGTGTTTTGTATGCTGATGGTGATGAAGTTTTCCCATAAAGAAAAACTACGTTTGTTAAGGAAGGACATGACACTGCTGTGCGGTCCAAGAAGCCGCAGTTCCCTCCCTTCCTCCCCTTTATCGCAGGGACACAGTGTAGTGATTTAAGCCAGGGAATATATTGGGAAAATCTTGTACTTGCTGTTTGAAGGAGAGGCAAGAATACACCAAGAATACACCACCTGTTGTCTTCTGCTTTCTTCCCCATTTGTGACCTCTCTCTTCTGTCATGGCCCCAACCACTTCGAAACCAAAGGTTTTGGAAGTATCCAAGGACAGCAATGGAAGGGACGCTGCAGGGAAGGTAAAACCCCTCAGAATAATGCAGCACTGAATGAAACAATTTACATTGCAGTGTTCAAAGGGTTAAAAATGCAGCTCCTGAATGCAGCTCTGTAGCTGAGAAGAATGATACTGTAAAGCAAAAAGCAGGCAGAGATATTAATTGTTGGAGAGATTTTTGTGTCGTTCTTCCCAAGGAAAAAAGCCAATCTGAGTGATGACCCCAAGGAGGAAAGTTCAAAGGATGCTACCCTGCAGCGCTCCTTCCAACACTGTCTGGTTAGAGGATGGAGATGATTTTGCCAGCTGATCCTTGGGGTCCATGAAAAAGGTGAGGGGCTTGTGCCCTTAAAGACTTCATGGCCTGCTCCCCGACCACGCAGCTTCACTGCAGCTGGCGTATGAGTGATGTCCCTTGTGCAGGCTGCTGCAGCACTCGTCACAGAGCGGTTGGGACGCTGCATAAACCCAATTTTAGAATAACTATCTGACTGGCTTTGGCTTGGCATGGCTGGGCAAAGATACTGGAAATTGTCATCTGACACTTCCAGCTACTGTGTTCTCCACTCCATGGGGGACCGCTGACCATATCTCAGAGGCTTTCACACGATGCAGAGGGAGGAAAAGGCCCCCTCAGCATCCTTACGGTGTGGGAAGAGAAGGGTAGGAGGGTTGAGCATTTGGACCGTGGTCAGCGTACAGCTAAGAACACCTGTGCTGCTGCTGTTGTCCTACAACAGAGCATCTCATAAATAGTCCAAACTGCTTGAGGGAATGAGATGCCCACCTTTTTTGTTTGACAGAGTCTGGAACATACCTTGGCCAAGTTAGAAAGGTCTGTCTTTCTCGTGAGTCATTTTATAAACACTGTAACTTCTGTTAAAGAAGAAGAGGCAGATGTTTCATGTCAGTAATATTTTACAGTCTAAAAGATGTTAATGAAGACAAATCTTTTAAGTTAGGAAGTAGGTCCCTAGGGGAGCACAGTGGGGGCACTGAGCCAGACCCTTGCCGGCTAAAGCGCGCGAGCAGAAGCTGCCCAGGTCACCACTCTTCCTTCACTGCAAATCTGTTAGCCCACGACACACAGGAAAAATACTTCCAATATTTTTTTTTACATTAAATACTTCTTAATCAAAACTAATACCCTTCTACATGTATGGTTTAAGGTGAATGAAAGCAACGTTAATTCTAAACCTCCTATATTTTGTTTAGAGGGTTTACATTTCCACCTTTATGTGTCTATAATTCTGCAGCACTGTTAATAGGAGTTGGTTTCTTTGGTTCTATTTTCTCCTGTTTATAATGTGCTGTAATTATGACAAGCATGGTCCAAGAATATGCTTTTTAAGAATAAAATATAAAATAACTGATTCTTAGTTACAGGAAAATCAAGTATAAAGCAACTTACTAACTTCTGTAGACAGGCAATGGTTTTCAAGTGAAAATTTCTGTTTCTCTGAAGTTTGTACAAACCATAAAGACCAGGATGTATATACAAAGGGTCGCAGCTGATTAATTACAAATACCTCCATGCACACACATGTTAAAAACACATTACGAAGTTTGCTCTGTCAAGCATTCAAATGTAAGAAATGCCACAATTAAGACTGACTGCAAGTCTTCCTTGAGCATCCGAATGCTAATGCAATCTTTTGTTCACACGGGAGCCCTGCTTTGCCACTGAGGAATTGGTCTTCGCTCAATGGCAGCTGAGCAACATTATGTTTTAGTCGGAATCTTCAGCATTGTATATAAATATAAGTGTGTATGTACATGCATATTTACAAACACACACATATACACACACCTTTGTATAGCACAGATTTTTTCAAATCCTCCTCTAATGACAGTTGTAGTTTCCCTATGGGACTATGGCTTTTTTTCCCGCTACACTGAACTGTGCTATAGCCATTAATTAATTTATCTGCATAAAACCACTTGCAAGGTGAAGAGACAGGACAATACCTAAATTTCAGAGGGCAGACCGCATATTATTCATCTGCACAGCCAAAGTGATCATGGCAAGAGACAGATCTTTAAAAAGATTCAAGTACACTTTAATTTACCATGAATTGGGAATAATTTTGGCTTAAATTTGTTCTCACACATTATCTGAGACTATTTGTTTTTAACTGCATCCCAACTAACTCTAATCCTCACTACTATTGAAGTTATATCAGCTAAAAAGGTTTTTAAAATAATTTCTGTAAGAGTCTTGTAACACAATTTTCTCTGCAGTTTAAGCAAAGATTATGTTAGGAAAATCTCTCTATTACTCAAACATACCGTTACATTTGGATGTTTGGAGCGGTAATGGAAACTTTCCCAAAGCATTAAGCAGCCAAAGTTCCGCATTTTTACTGAGCAATCTGATTGACTTCACGTGTTGCACCGGCACCTCCTCCAGGAAATCATGAAGTAGGATGTTCTCCATTTCCTAGAATACAAATTCATGGAGCTGCACACGATTGGTGTAGTGCAGATATTTACAGCAGCATGAAATAAAATTGTATTGATAGTTTAAACGTAAATGTAAAGCAGCCCCTTTTTTTTTCTTCCAATTAAGCAATAGCTAAGCTACACTTATTAGCAGAAGGAAAAAGATCCTAACAATAAACTTCATTTCCTGAACTAATCACTAGACACTACTTAATGACCTGCTGTAAATAAGAAGCAAATTATTTTGATCAGAAAACTGCATGTTTCTATGTGGAACGTCACCGAGAAATGCAGTAGTGTTCTCAAAGGAAAAATAACTCTCGTAATTTGGAGAACAGTTATCAGTCGAAATTTCGGTCACATAACCTCATGCCAGAACCACAGACCACATTTATAACTGCATACTCCATTGGTATTAGGGACTTTCGAAAGAATATATAGCAGCAAAATGGAAGTTATGTCAAATTCCACTGGCTCCTTTCAAAATCCACACTGAGCTGTCTTAGAAGAAGCCAAAGAACAGACTTGAGGTACAAACAAAAATCCCACTGTACAGCACACAAGAAACAGCTGGCCCTTCTCCTCAGGTCCAACTACCAAAAAGACACAAACACATAATATAATTGCAAGAAATAAGTGTGTCTACCGTACCTTGAATAGTTGCCTATCATAGTTTTTGAACAGCTGGCATACATCTGGCAAGGACATCAATGCTAATCTTTCAGGCTGCAGAGACCTCCAGAATGACATGATGCAGTCTTCCACCTGTCGCACAAAATCCTTTACGAATTTTCACTGATTTTTACACTTGTGAAATGTGAAGCGTAACTTAGTAAGCAACACACATAAGCACAGAATCAAAAGAATGACCGTGGAGCTGGGGTTTTTGCCTGGCCCCATCCTGGCCGGGATCCAGCGTAAGTGGAAGCATCCTAGTGCAACAAGCTGAACTTCACAAGGCAGTGTAAGAAAGAGGAGAGAAACAAAGAATTGTGCCATGGATATGTGGATATAAAGAAAGATATGTGTCCATAGCCTTGTGTTTTGTGCTGGGCTCAGACCTGTTGATGTGCCAGGAGTGCTCAGGATATGTCTACAAACTCAGATTCTCGGAGCATGTTGTGTTAATTAAGAATTCCTGAATAATTTGACTGAATGCTCCTTTTGTCTATAAATGATCACCTATCTTAGATCAAACCATCAAGTAAATAAGCTACACAGAAACAAACATCCTTACAGATGTTTGCTGTTGTCAGAATGAGTGTTATTAAAGCAAAGGCATACCTTGTCAAGCTCGCTGTTTCTCACCATATGCCAAATATCTTGGCAATGGCTGTAGTACTCATTGGCAAGCGGTACAACCTGTGACGAAAAAGAAGGTACAAAAAGATCCCACAGGCAAAGAGCTAACTCGCTTGATGACCGAATACTTGAACGTACCATCTCGTAGGGGTATTTCTTCCCTAGCTCTTGCTCCCAAAGATAGAATCTGCTGAATTCAGGCCAGGAGTACTGAAATGTCTCTTGTTCAGTCTTCGGATAAATGACAGATGGGGAACAGTGCAAATCCTCGCTCTCGATGCATCAGAATTTATTTTGAACAATTAAAAAAAAAAGATCACAATTATCTTGTCAGTTCTGTTAAAGGTATTAAGTGCTTTCTTGAAATTGTATAACATGATCTTTTAATAAGACATATTTCTTCAGAGGACTGCTTGTCTTTTTTTTTTTAGAAAGTAGGGGCGGATGAAAGAAACAAGCATGGCTGACTAAATATTTAAATCCTAAACAGTGCATGAATTTCTTTTCAAACCCAGTGAATATTGAATGCTATCCGTATCTTCCACATGTATTTTCTATAGCACTCCTGTCACAGTTGTAACCTTCTAAATAAGGCTGCAGAGAGCTGGCTCTGCTGTCGGGGTGACAGCACACTTCTCGTCAGCGGTCATTACAGCCACTTCAGAACACGCATTACCGCACCCGACTGCTCCGTAAAAATCAGACAGACATCCAGTCTCTCCTTTTTTTCCCTCACTTTGGTCCACATAAGTTTGTCGCTGACGCTCTGCCGGCGGGCTTCCAGTAACCCCAGTGCCAAGCCATCCCATGATGGTACCTTATGGGAGAACTGCCACAGGTTAACCTCGCACCTGCCCTTTTCGGTGAGCAGGGGTTGCCCGCTTTTTTTCTTAACCATTTCCTAGTATTTAAATACTTATTGTGCCAATAAACCCTGAGGACATTGAAAAGACATCGGCTCAGCAGCGTGAGGGTCTGTCACTGTGGGCCTCAGACAAGGAAGGTTGTGCCTCACTAAATATTCAAAACCTGGGCTGTCAGCCACAATTTCCACTCTCCGCACAGATAAAATTATTTGAGGTGACGTTAAGACGACAAAAATATTTAGTTACCAGGTGAAATAAGAGTGGGGGAAGTAAGCACTTAGTGGGATTATGCAGACAAAGATTAATTTGAAGAAGATGATGGGTTAACTGTATTTCATCAGGACATATTATACAGCAGTTCTAATTAAACACACAGACATTTTGTTATAAGTCTAATGTATCAGAAACTCACTCTTCTGGTTTTTTGGCTATTGCTCTTGTAACCAGCTGCATCTCCACAACTGCAGACGTTTCCACTGTGGTAAAATAGAAAACAGAAAACCCCTTTTAAAAGCCCACCAATTTATTCTGTATTTAGTAAGAAAATGAGCTCAAACTGGATAGAGTGCACTAGGTTGGAGCATTGTGTTGGGGAAACACACCCCGCGCTCTTTCCTGTCGTTCAGCAGCCCCGTGATTTTCTAACGAGTCTGAAGACCAATTTCTTAATTTTAAGATAAAAGTGAACCATTCATTATAGAGACGGCAAGGTATTAGCCATTTAACAGTGCAATGTCTTCCAACTTCTCACACCAAAATTGTGAGTTTGTATTTGTAGTCGCAGTTCATTTGGAATGATAATAATAAAATGTGCAAATAACGAAAGCACAATCATCCTTGTGCTTTGATTTCATAGAAATTACATTTTCTTCACCCTGTATCAGTTTCGATGGCATTTTGGTTCTGACTTTCCCCCATTTACTTTGCAAGCCTGCTGTGATGTTCCACACGACGAGCATTCACCTGGACCTGCAAAGGCTTGACCACAGCTTTTGGCTGAAAAGCCAGGGATGCAGGCACAATAGGCTGCTTTCTGGCTTTACCCTCTCCTCCCTCTCTCCCTGCCTGTTTTGCTGAGGCTAATCCTACAGGAGGGAGAGGCATCCTTGCTAGTAAAAGGGATGTGCTGCGCGAGTTGGATTCCTCCAGTCAAGCCCCCATCTGCTGCTGACACCTGCTCACTGTCTGTGAAGGCATTTCAAACTCCGGGGTCCTTTTGGACTCGGCTTTTTTGAAGGGTGATAGGCAGGGGCTTTGTAGAAAACGTGCTGCCACTGGTGACTGCCAACATTCAGGCTATCTGATCAGATCCTGGCTGCTGGGTTTCACTGCTGTGATCTATTATAAACCCCAGCACCACCATACGTCCTGAAGGAACAGAGGACGAAATGTTCAGCTTATCTGCTTTGAAACGCAAGCCACTGAAAATGCCTCCTCTCGCTTAGCTGCTGTCCACAGGACTGACACTTGTCACCTGAAAAATTACCTCTCCCTCTGCCACTACTCTCTGCCATGGAGGTGATGCTCCAGCAAAACGACCAAACTGGCTGTCCAAGACAGGGCACAACATTCACGTTGCGTATGTTTGGTAACGCTATTGCCTCTTTCTCCCAGACATTTTAGAGTTGGTGGCTGGACAAAGGGAAGAATGTGTGAGTAGAGACGTTTCATAACCCTTCTTTCAAAAGGGTCCTTCCTGCAGATTTCTAAAGCCTGTGAAACAAACTTAATTAATATTTTCCAGCTCCTGCTCTCCCGGAGAAGGCGGCCAGCTGTATCTTCTGCTGCTGCTACTATGGCAACACATATCAGCATCGCTTTCTCCGGTGGGCTGGCTCCCACGGCGGGCTGGCTCCCCACTCCCCCCGGTATGGGGATGGCGAGGTGCAAGGAGGGGTGCTGCGTGGGTCCTCCCGCACCCCAGCAGCCAGCTGGGAGCTCGGTGGTAATCAATTTAGTGTAAATACCTATGGAAAACTAACATCCATGTGCTCCCATGGTTAGCAAAAGGGTTTCAGATTCACCCGGTGCCCGCAGAGGTGCTCGGCTGCCAGGCAGAGCTGCTGGCTTCTCCTGGAGAGCGGTGCCTGGGTAAAGACAGGACACACAAAAGAGGAGGTGGGTGGGAGAAGGGGAAAATGGGTGACAGCAAAATCTCAAGGAGTTTCACCATATCTCTTGCAGAGTTTGGATGGTGCTATGGAGAGGGAACTAGAGCTAAAATGGGAAACACAATGGTGGGGATGACAAAAAGACTAACAGAGGAGGCGAATGGGAAGGACAAAGGAAAAATGAAAGGAAGGAGGATGGTGAATGTGCATGCTGTTGACTGTCAGATTACACTGAGATTAGAAAAGCTAATTTGCTAGAATCATATCAGATTTTTTTTTATTAAAAAATCATGGGTTTGCTTCACTAGAAAGTCAGAAGCCCAAACCTTCCCTATTACTAGAATCATAAAGTAACTCTTATGAAACCAAAATTTGCTGGCTTTTTTTTAACACTGCTATACTCTCAGCCTGAGCAAGTACCATTTTAGGGAGAGCTTGTCCTCAAAGCTCCCATTCCTAGAGGGCATCCTATTGTGATGCAAATCGGTAAGTACCCTATTCCCTTAAATCTCCATAATACATTTGGAGACCTCATTGATTATAATTGTGTTTATTTACACTACTTTCATAACATCATCAGCAGAGCAGAGTACACATATCTTCAAAACATCTAAGATTTCTAAATGAACCAACTCACAGGTGCTGAGTAAGAGGATCCTCATCACTTCTCACATGAAGACGTTCCAACCCAGCCAACTGATACACCCGAAGCCTCGCTGCCTATCAAAAGGCAAATGCCTTCTTTATAGTCAAGGGCAAACCATTATAGCCTTACTGCCATTTCTACAACACCAACAAGCACAGCTCCCAACCTGCCAGACCCTTCACCGGCCTAGTTCCCCACTACCAGCACCGTGTGAATGGCCAACTATCTCAATGTGGTCAAGAAATATTCTTTTCAGTAATTACAGTGGATCGTAGTTTTGAAACCATCCCTTTCTTCACCAACCCGCAGGCTGGGTGGGTGCCTTGTTCTCAGTTGGGCTCCCGGCTCCACCTTCCCCTCAGATAGGGGCAACAGAAAAAGCATCTGCTTGTTGGACTTATTCAGGCGTGGGAGGGACTAATAGTTATTTAGGAAACGTTCATAACTCAAACAGACATCCCTGTCTCTGCCAGAGGGAAGTGGCAACAAGCCAGAGAAGTATATCCCGTTAGCAGGGTCTGGTCCACAGACCAGCATTTGGACTGCACTGAAATGGAATGTGAAAAAATCTTCTTCACTATAATTTGGAAATTTCCACACCAACACAGTCTCAAAAATTGAGATGTTATGGGACAAATACCCCTGCTGCAATTATATGATTACCTCTGTGAGAACAAAATTTGTTCTTGCAGGTAGAAAAGTCTTCAAGATTTCATTACTCTTTTTCTAAATTTCAATTTTCTAATTAAAAAAAAAAATCTAGAATTTGCCATTGTTGGTTTATCAACTTCATTGGATCACGAAAAATTAATTCTGATTTCAAAAAGTACTGAACCCTACTGAGAGGACAGTAAAGATGAGGTGCTTCCTCGGTGTGTTCCTATTTATTTGCAAGACCTTTCCTCATTACGGATGCCAAATCTTAGGCCTGTTCTGGTTATAGTGGGTGCACAGGTAGCGAGGGATATCACTTCAGTAAGGGTCTCGTGGGAAATGAGCCTCGCGTTGCCTATGAATAATTTGTTTGGTCTCACAACGACCGACTGCCACTTGATCAGCTGCAGAACCTGATCCTCTGCCCCATCCCATTCTTTACCGTTGTCACTCTATGGACTTCTGCAACATTACTCTGCTATAAAACCCATGGAGAGAGGCATCAAACCTATGGGTATAATTTTTCCATTCTCTTGCAGAGCATGCAATCAGTTAAGTAACTGTAATATAAACCATCACAGTCACTGAAACAGTTTCATCATCGCCAGAATATCCGGGTGCTTAATAGGCTGACTTGTATCCTTCTAACATTCATGCTAGAGAAAAATGCTATATCTCCATATTAAAGAATGGAAACCAAAGTACAGAATTTATCCATATACACATTGATGTACAAGTCTGTAAGTGTGTGAGGATACGAGCCCGGTCTCCAAAGTCCAAGGTCTAGGCTGCACTAGTTTAATTCTCCTGTGCATTTAAAAGGAGTGTAAAACTGTTACGGCATGGCAGCGCTTCCCTTCCTTTTTTCCAGGGAGAAATGCAAGCCTGTGGTTTGTTTTCTCAACCATGAGTTTAACCGTAAGAACTTTCCCTTGCCTCCCCACAACTGGGCCATGCTCATATCTACACTTTAGTCTGCCAAAGCATCTTACATTCATCAATTATTTTTAGACTTTTAATTTTTGCAATCCATTTACACTCATCTTCTACATTTTCTCATTGTTGTTCCCTTACAAGAGGTGATTTGAAATCTGAAATTTTAAAATAAAGCGAAGGAAATATTTTCAAAGTAATATGCCTCATTGTTTCAAGCAGTAAAAAACCCCAGATAGAATCTTCAAAACAGTGCACTCATTTATACTTTAATACATGTCTCTTACTGTTTAATAAGGAAGGTGGTACAATGTCATGAAGCGACTTCAATACGTTTATTTGACCTCCCATTTAGAGTCTCAATATATTAAGATTCTTTTAGGTTTGGCATGAGTCCTGCTCTTAAGATCTACATGGCTAAAACGTCCAATTCAAGGAAGTCCGATTAGGCAGGGCATGTTTTGAAAATGGAGCGTCTCCATCAGGGTGAAGCACTTAACGGCACAGCACTTTTATAGTGTGTATAATAACAAGAAAAATATAATACTGCTGTCAATGTTCAACAGATGATTTACAGACTTTTATGTACAGACAGTATATAGACTGTCATGTGACATTTTATGATTAAAAAATTTTAAAAAACAAACCTGTGATAATTTTCTTCAGACAGAAGAGAGCAATAACGTGCATAAAAGGAAGAGTTATTCCTGATAGCTATTCCATCATGATACCTAGAAAAAAAAAAAAGATGAACTGACAACCATATGATTTTCAACAAGTCAGGAAGTAATTCGTATTCCTCCTTTGAAAGCAGGTGATCATTCTATTTAAACAAGAAAAGACCAAGTAAAAAAAGCTACATTTGTTTTTTATAAATTCTGTTGAAAATTTATTTTCCCCAACAGAAGATAATTGCACAAACTCTTTACAAACTCTTTTTAAGAGTTTTTGCCCTGGAATGATATCTTCTTCTAAATGAGAAAAACTTAAGCCAGCGAACAGGTTGCAAGAGATTTGTACAGGACAGTTAGCGAAGTCGGGGACCAGTCTCAGCTGACAGAGGTCCCCGTATCCCCATGGAAGTTGAAGGATTTACTGCAGTTGTTCCGCAGCCATCCACAATAGCTTAGGGACTGGATGGCTAAAACCCAAGAAACCCACCAGACCTTCTCTAAGGTTTATCCCAACCTCCGTGAGCAGCCGAGTCACCATCCCTGCTACCGAGGTGCTACCAGCTGGCTTTTCCCAGGGAGCAGCACAGCAGTTTTGGGCCACCAGCAGCCAGCAAAGGGCAACCTTCTGCTGATGGGAAGAGAGACCGTGGAGGCTGGGGGCTATCACGCACCCTCCTAAATCCTGCCAGCTATGAGGAGAAGCTTGGGAGTGTCTGTGGTGAGGCACTCCCAAAATAAAGGATCTTGCTGGATCAAGATGATAGCAGGTCCGGGCTAGTGGAGAAAAGTTGCAGATCAAGTAAGGGCATGTCAACCTCAAAGTCAGTACTTGACAGCTACTCAAAATGCTTGTAAAATTACTGTCTCAATGCCCTTAAAACATCCCTTTTTGCAGTCTGGATGTTCAGATTGTGATTATAAGTTTGGACATAGAATCAATGAAAGAGTATTGAACTCTCTGTGCTCTAGAAGAAGAGAGGGAAGGGAAAAGAAAGGACATGTAGGAGGAAGATCTGAGGTGGTCTGAGTTAAACGGTTTGAAACTCTTTACAACATGTCTATTGACCACCAGTACATGCTGCATCACTCCACAGATATGTGCAAGGATGAAAAGCACAACACAGACATTAATCACGGCTGCCACCCCCGTGCATCCTGGAGCCAGGCTTTCCTGACCCCATCTCTCAAGAGCTCTGAGTAAGGTTGTGATGTCTGGCAGATGCCTCATGCAAGCCATACTCTTAGCCAGTACAAATTGGAGCACTAATTTTTTAAAAACCAGTCTAATCTGGAATTCATGGCCTACCAAAGCAGCTCCTATGTGGTGGGTTTTGTGGAATTAATTCTATTTTGATGTACTTGGTGACATCATGAATCACTCTGGATCTTGCGATGTATTACAAACTTGCAACCAACAATTTAGCTGCTATATTACAGTGCTGGAGCTGAAAACTCAGCCATTTCTACATTATTATTTTTTTTTTTAATTTTCAGATTTTATTAGAACAGTTATAAATAACATTTTTAAACAAAGGATGCAAAACCAATGCCTGGTATTCCCTCTTGTGCCCAGCCTTTTTGTCCCCAGACCTGGGAAAACTAACCGAATAAGCTGAAAAAACAAACAGAAAATTAGAGATGCTTGGCAAATTCGTTCTAAAATGTAAAAACATATCTGCCACATTTTTTTCTCCTTAATCACTTCTTTTGCTTTCCATCATTTGCAGGCTAATACCTGCTCTTACATAGTTCTCAAACAGTAACTGTTGAACTGAACTCAATCAGGCTTTTGCGGATGGAAAGCGAAGTAATTTAAGGGATTACCTCCCTCAGGTAGGAATTTTTTTAGACTAGTCTGTTTTACCTTGCAGTTAAACACAGTCAGTGCACGCACCAGGAGCCCACCCGCAGTCAGGTGGGGTACATCAGCTTTGGGAACTCAAAGGTGCTGCGGTTCTCCAGTACTCTGCCAGACCCGCAAGCCTTACTCATCTGAGTAGGACTTACTCACACAAGGAACTTCACCTACCCACTCAATCTTGCAAGGAGTACTTGCAGGATAGGGCCTGACTTATCTCTTTTAAAGGGACCTGAGTCATCAAGCTGCAAAGCCACCTTCTGACCACCGCGGTGGTAAATGCGAACTGAGGTCACGTCGCATCTGTCAGGGTTAGGCCCTACAGAGTAGTAAGATACTGTCAGGGTAGTAATCCACTGCACCATGATTATTCTGCAAGAGCTGTCCTGTGAAGACTGAGACTAACTCAGGACAGCTGGAGCTAACATTCCCGATATAGCAGGAACAGAGGATCGAGTACTCAAGGTTAGCGAGGGGTGAGGAGCGTCTCCACTCCGCAGCACAAGGCTTGGACTCCGTGCAAAGTGCAGGACAAATTTCCCCAACTCACGGTAACGTGCACCTCCAGCTTTAACAATGTTGGAGCAGCCCTGTTCTTTGCACATTTCTGCGTGCACCCACCACAGCTGCTCCCTTGCTCAAGCTGGTGTTTTAGCATAATCCCATTTTCCTAAATGGACAGCCTATGAACCCCGGGGCTTCTGAGGCATGAGACACATACTTCTTCCCACTGCCCCTTCTACGGAGACAGCGGCGTATTTGGGCAGAGGGATAGGGCAGATGTGATTAGTGGTGTCTTAACTCACCACAGTTTGATTCACATGGTGCGAAAGTCCTGACATTCCCCACGCACGTAATGCGGTCAGGTTACTACAGCTTGATGAATGACGAATAGCTCAGCCCATTAGCTAGGCTGTGGTAACTGATGACCTGTGCACCTTTAGTTTAAACCAGGGTTGCTGCCGTTCCTGCCCTCCTCAGCCTCTCACTGCAGGGTCCCACCTCCTGCTGTGGAAGGACAGACCATTTCAAGCCGTCCCCGGTTTGCTCACTTGGGATGTGTTAACTCGCGCCGCGATGCACCGGGTCGGTTCAGGCTGTGAGCAAACAGTTGCAAGCACCAACCTATAGCAGCTATGGCTCATCAGCTAAGCTCTTCTGCGTGACCAGGCTCACGCTTCATCCATGCCTGTCTCAACTTAAAGGTAAAATGCATTAACTTAAACCACGAGAAGCCTTAGCTTACAGGTGGTAACTCAATCATGCTGGAGCACCTGAAAGTGTACAGACAGGATGGGATTAATCCTAGCTATGTGGCTACAAGGTAGAGATGTCTAAGCTAGTCACTGCAGACCCTGTAGTCAACGGAGAAAAACAGGCAGTTCCAAGGCACGTTTCGTCTGAGCTGCCTGAGATGACTCATTTAGGGTGAGAGGAATCATATGTAAGTACTCATTTCTCTCCATTGGCTACCAAGAGATTTTAAGGTGACTGGCTTCATGGCAGACATCTACACTGAGCCAGGCAAATTCTACCCATGGGCTTGGCTGGTGGGTGATGATCCATTAAGCTATGGTAATAAATCACACTGGATCACCCAAGTCTTAATTTTAAGTAAGAGTGATTTAACTTACCCAGTAAAAAAAAAAAAAAGAGATTCAACTGAATTGAGATAAATGATTCCTCAAATGAGATTATCCACACAAATGAAATTGATTTCAGGTACAACTTTTACTTAAATTATTTTGGGTTTGTGTTAAAACAGTGCTTAGTAGCTCTTACCATGGGCACTAACAGAATAATATTAGCAGTAAAAATAGGAAATTCTGACCAAAAAGTCGTGAGCAACAAATAATCACAAGGCATTCTACCTTCCTTAATTTGCTAATAAAGTTGAACAGCTATGAGTGTTTGTTGCAGTTGGGATTTCTGAGTGCTAATTGCTCTGTGGGTTGTATCAACCTCCATGTATTAAAAGAGAGGAACTGTTTAAAGGAGATTGGGCTTTACATCTGCATTTGTTTTGCTTGGATGATTCTCTCGCAACTTTTTTAGGGTGTGTTTGGAGCAGAATATCCGCAAGTGTACTTAAAAAGGAAAGTATAAAGTTATGCAACAACCAAAGGGGTCTTTTAAGGACAGAAAAATCAGCTCCTCAGGATGAGTTTATTAACCTTGCGCTGTTTACCCTGGTAAAGCTTTCTAAAATCTATTGACAAAAGAAATCTTTGCTAGTGTAACATACAGCAGTTCCCTGAAGAAAATAAACTCCATCACAGACAGTACTCTTTTCTCTAGTAACTGTGTCTGCATGAGGGCTTACCAGAAATACATTAGAAAAGACACAAGCATAATACATTGCATATTCATTCTTCTGTATTATTTCATCTTTTTTGATATGCAGTGTGTATGTTTGATCATTGGATTTTCTGTTTAGTTGTCTCTGCTTCTTATCTTATATATCCTACCTACTCTGTACCTTTCCAAAGGAGGCTGGATTTACTTGACACTTGGAATTTGGACTGCAGCTTTCCATATACAATTCCTATAGCATCCAACGGGGTACAGTGCATCCATCACACCAATAGAAATTGTCAGCTACCCTTTAAAACACAAACACCAGTTGGTTTATGTCAGAAGAAAGAATTGTTAGCTTGTGATTTTAATAGCTCATCAGGTTTACAGTGAACTCTGTAATAGTTGCTCTGATTTCATAGAATCAAAAAGAGAGCTACTGCTTTAACGTTAATCTGCATTTTGGGAAAAAATATACATTTTCATATATATATACATATATATTTTTTTCCATGTTTGTTTTTAACTTTTAAAGTTCTACTTTCCTTGTTTCCAAAATGTAAGAGAGGTCATGTCAAACTGTGTTAAGAAATTAACTAGATCTCATTGTTTTTAATAAAAAAAATATAACTTAGTAATATCATTATAACATGAACATCAGTACAGAAAGAATTAGCATCTCTCATCTGGTAACTGTCGTTACGTCAAAGGATGTAACTTTGATCTTCTAATTAGAAAGGTCTCCACTGTGCTGAAGATAATAATACGAGCATTTTTCCATCTAAAATGTGCAATATGGTGTTTTGAGATGGAGAGTGCACAAACTATCAAGGACCAAATTCTGTTCTCATACAACCTCATTGATTTTAGCACAAGTTTAATAAGAGAACAGAATTTTAATTTACAGTTACTGTGTAACACAACTGCCAGGACTGAAACTGGTTTAGGTGTTTAAATACTCATCCTTTGGCCAAATCCCTTCCTCATCCTGGTTGTCAGAGTGACCATAGTCAAGTAAATGCAACTACTCGTGTGAATAAGGTGAGGAAGGCGTAAACTTAGTTACTTATTAGCCTAAGGTATTACCTTCACCAGAAAAAAAAAAACCTTTAATTATGAGGTAATGCCAATGGTTTCGATGTCAGAAGATAATAGCCTCCTGCAGTACAAACACAGGAGCAAAAATCTAGCAAAGAAGCAGAGAGATTAATTTTCAAAGCATGACACACTGATGATTTGACAGTGTTTTCTTACTCTGACTCTGCTTCCATTATACCAAATGATTTATGCATATTTAATTAATTTATCAGCTGAATGCTAGTACAGCACAGTACCAGTTACTCACTGTGTCTCTACTGATAAATGAGTTGGTTGGGAAAGCAGACTTTTCCTAATCACCAGGTGAGATAAGCCAGCTGGATTTTAAATCAGCATCCTCTCTTTTATTAGCAGCCTGATTTCAGGCGACCCAGTGTTTATCTTTCTGCATTAGCTGTATTGGCAGTAGATAGTGGATAAGGTCTTCGGCAGACTGGCTTGCGAGAACAGACTGAGCAAGAAGAGCATCGCTGTGCAGCCTGACAATGTCTTCCTCACCTTTTATGTCTACCGCACCTTTTATTCATGCCTCCTCCCCTTTCTCCAGGGAAGAAGGCTGGCTGACTCCCCCAGGTTTTCCTCTCCCTAGCAAAAAGCCCCCAAATGCCTCGCTTTTACCTCCTCGGAGCCCATCTTCTCACCCACCAACCCAAGAGGCGGACGCTGCCAAACGCCAGGGCTGAGCTGTGCCGGGCTCCCTGCCAGCTCCACACCACCTCCAGCCCCACCACCCCACAGCAAAGCCTTCACCACTAGACCTGAGCAGGGACCTGCACCAAAGACAGGGAATCTGCTGCCCTAACGGGATATTTCCCATCATGGGGCTGAAAGGTAAATGAAATTTATTCTAGACAAGAGTTCTGGCTGAGCTCTGCCTCCTAGCAGGCAGAAATGCTTGTTTCTTTTAGAGCAATCATCTCAAAACCCTTCATAATTGAGCAGTCCCGGAGGAGATTAAACCTAAGTCCAAATTCATCCTTAATATAACACCACAAGAGTCATTGGAAGCACAGCAGAAATTAATTCATGCTTCAGTAGCTGGTTTCTGCCAATAGTTTTGCCTCAGCGTTTAACTATTTAGTGACTCAGTATCTGGGAGTTTTATTCTGTGAATTTATCATCCATTAAACTGCCAGCCTTTTTCAAATAACAAGTCAAACACGTTCTTAGTGCTGACACATAATACAAAAATACTGTCTATCAGGAAAAAAAAAAATCACACAGAAAAGAGCATGGTGCTCATCTCGCATATTAGCCTCGAGGTTCTCAAAACCTGAGTGTTTATGGCATGCATCAAAACAAAACTGTTACTAAAGACAAGAAACTCAAAAGGTTTTTTGTAAGGGAGGAGGATGGACGTTAAAGAAAAAGCACCCGGGGAAAGACCTCTTCCATTTGTCTACTGCTTTCTACCCACACTTTCTGTGGGGTTCGTTATCTGGTCGGTTCTAGGTCCTCACAAGGAGTCCAGGTTTTGGGGATTTGCCAACTGTTACGTGGGAACCCTTGGCAGCCAGGCCATTATACAGGTTTCAAGTCTGCTGTTAAACCATTTCTGGACCAAAATCTGGTTTGTTATTGTCAAAGCACCAACCGTAAAATGAAGCTGAATATTTAAAAATTTTCAGAAATGAAAAGGTGATTCAAAAGGTTTTTGTGATGAAAAAAATCATCAGTTCATCCTTTCAAGGATGGTTTATGATTCAGTTTAATGCACAGCCTCAAACTTGTTGGATGACCTTGGATGAATCTCTTCCTTCAGTCCATTTAAAATGGAAGTAGCGGTATCTCTATCACAGCAACAGCAGTCTTACTCCCACCGCTCCGGTGTTACTCAGAGGGGGAATAAAAAGATTCAAGATTACTGGCTGTCAAGTTAAAAGTCTGCTTGTACGTGTTGTTACTGTTTCACACAAAGCTTCAACGCTCTTTACTAGCTGGATTCATCTGCGCTTGGGGAAAGAAGGAAAGTAACCCTGGTTTCTCTTTGGCTGTCACATGGCAGACAACGCTCTTCTCAAAGCACAGGAAAATGATGGTGACAACCTTAATCCACCACAGAAAGTATCTCACTGAGGAGTTCAACCATTACCTTCACCTCAAAGAAGCATGACCTCGGAGAACGTCAGTCACTCGGCATCACTCTGAAGGCCAGCGTGCCACGGCCACAACTCTTACCGAGGTGGAGGTGGTGTGACAGAGGGGAAATGGGATTTTGTGTCAGCCTACCCACTCATGGGGATCTGGCCCCTGGGCTGCCATCCACTTGGTGGGATGCTGCAGGGCGGATGGCAAGGACCATCCCTGGCTGGACCACTCGTGGCTGGCGTGATTTTACAGCACCCCGGTAAGACTTGTGGCAGGAGATGGACCTCCAGGGAAATTTCCCTGCTCTCATGGCACCATTTATGCACTGCCGTGATGATGGGGACTTTACAGCAAACGAGATTTTTGTCCTACGAAACTGTGATAAGTGCTAAAAGTGGGACTCCTACCCTCCTCGTAGCAAGTCCCCCCGGCAAGGGGGGGCGGGGGGCGA